CTCCTATTTCCTTTCTTAAGATTCTAGGAGTTTGTTAACTTATTTGCTTTCAGGGCAAAAATGATGTCCCAGGCATCATCCTGTTCATTTCTTGCCCCAGAATCAGCCATTTCTCTAAGCAGTCCCATTTCTTTTTAGTGGGAAAAGGTTTTTTAAACCATAATGTGGGTACTAGACGTATTATTACTACTGAGTTATAATTGCTTTGAGCTTTCAGTGGACTACAAATTATGTATTTTTTAAGAAGGAGAAAAAAAATTACAAATTTATATTGATGTTATTCCTACTCAATTACAGAGTTTTTACTTCTTTGACTTGGCAAGTTATCCTGGTACCTAATGATATTAACATAGTTACTCATTTGCTTTGTCCTTCAGTGTGTGTATCAAGTTTTAAAATAACAATATCTGAGCCGGGTGAGGTGTGCACACCTGTGATCCCAGTGGCTCAGGAGGCTGAGGCAGGAGATCACAAGTTGGAGGCCAGCCTCAGCAAAATCGAGGTGCTAAGAAGCTCAGTGAATTCCTGCCTCTAAAAAAAAAAGCAAAATAGGGCTGGGGATGTGGCTCAGTGGTCAAGTGCCCCTGAGTTCAATTCCTGGTACCCTCTCCAAAATAAAATAAAACAACAGTATCTATATCACCAATAACAAAACCACTATATTCTGTTTATGATTTCTTTGTGGTTCCTTTGATTCTTAAGATATATACTATGAGATAAGCCCAGTCAAAATAGTGTCTTACTACTGAGTAAAGAAAGAATCCATGAGTCTATGATGATATAAATATGTAAGGAAATAAATGCATGAGGGAGAAGGAAAAGCTTTTCTTTAAGTAGAAAACCAATTAAATGTGGAAGAAATGCTGGAATTAGAAAATCATCATTTGGCAGTTTTCATCATCCTGATTCAGGCAAGAATCATAAAAGATGCTGAGTAGTGGGTGAAAGTTTGACAAATGAGGATATTTACATAATTCCAGAGAATTTCCCATGATACTTATTAATTGCAGAGGAGAAAATAGTAATTTTACAGGGGAGAAATCTGGCAGAAACTAGCATAGTTAGTCCTGCTAGTACTGGGACTGGTGGATAGTGTATACTTATTGATAGGTTTTGCTGAGAAGAGCTAAGTGACATTGCTGTAATGTTCCTGCCAAACCAGATTTCATCATGAGGAAACTGCACCTACCCAAACTGAGAGGCATTCTAGAAAGTAACTGGCTAATATGCTTCAAATGTAATTCTGGATTAAAGACATTAAGTGGCTGGGCACCACTTATAATCTCAGCAGCTCAGGAGGCTGAGGCAGGAGGTTTGTAAATTTGAGGACAGCCTCAGCAATTTAGTGAGGCCCTAAGCAACTTAGTGAGACCCTGTCTCTAAATAAAAAATAAAAAGGGGCTGGGGATGTGGCTCAATGGTAAAGCACCCCTGAGTTCAATCCCCAGAACGGGGCGGGGAGGAAAAGGTGTTAAGTGAAAGTAAAGAAATACAATAGCTAAATGCAGTATATGATCTTGTTTTTATTTTGCTACAAAGGACATTATTAGGGTAATTGATGAAGTTGGAACAAGTTCTATAGATTACATAATAGTAGTCTTTCAACGTAAATTCCCTAATTTTGATTATTATACATTAGCCATATAAAAGAATTTTTTTCCAGGAAATACAGATAGGTGAGTAAAGAATGAGAGATTGAGAAAGATAAAAAATGCAGAAAAATGTTAACATGGGGTTAACATCTTAGTGGAAGATATCTAGAATTCTTCCTACTGTTCTTGTAACTTTTTTGTAAATCTAAAATTATGTATGAAAAACCCCATCCTATTTTAAAGCCACTTAAAAGAATTCTCCTTGTGGTTATGCTTTCACTTTGTGATGTAGTGAGGTTCATTTGTTTTAATCAGATTTGGGCTTAATTTGGTGTTTTAATTCTATAAAACATGTCTATGGTTCCTTATTAACTTTTGGCTTATCCTTCAATGACAGGGTATCCAAAAAAGGAATATTTTTAAGTAAGAAAATACATAGAATACTTAAATAATTTCATGAATATATACTAGAGATAAAAGGGAAATTCTCTTCTGAATGCTTCTATTTTCTAAGTGAAATAAGAAGCAGTCTGGTTGGTATAGGGAAGGAGAGAGGGTTGCCTGCAGTCTGAAATGAGTGAAGGTGTGAAAAAGGATTTTTGAAGAATAGAAAGTGAATTGAAATTGACTAAGACAGTGGCTCTGAAACTTTAGCATCCGAATCACAGATTGCTGGGCCTCATTCCTAGAATTCCTGGCTTCATGGGTCTGGGATGAGGTCAAGAGTATGCATTCCCAATAAGGTCTTTTTTTCTTTTTTTAAAAAATTTGTTTTTTTTTAGATATACATGGCAATAGAGTGTACTTTGACTTATCATACGTACATGGAGTATAACTTCCCATTCTTGTGGTTGTGCGTAATGTGGACTTTCACTGGTCGTGTATTCATATATGAACATAGGAAAGTTTTGTCCAATTCATTTGGTTGTCTTTCCCATGCCCATCCCCCTCCCTTCCCTTCATCCCCTTTGTCTAATCCAATTAACTTCTATTCTTCCCTCCCCCTTATTGTAAATTAGCATCTAATATCATAGAGAACATTTGGCCTTTGGCTTTTTTGGGATTAGCTGAATTCACTTAGCATGATAGTCTCTAGCTTTACCCATTTATTGGCAAATGCCATAATTTCATTCTTCTTTATGGCTGAGTAATATTCCATTGTGTATATATACCACATTTTCCTTATCCATTCATCTGTTGAAGGACACATAGGTCCAACAAGCTCTTGATGCTTCCAGACTAGCTACTGGTCTGGGAGCCATACTTTTAGAACCACTGGACCAAGAAAATCACCAGGATTGCTGGGAGCACAGGAGCCCACTTAAAGTTTGTGGTCATGAATTTGGAGGGAGACCAACCAGCATGATTATGTGTTTGTACCCAAAAGTGCTCATTTTAGCTGATAATTTTCAGGCCTGGAGGAGGTGGCAAGCTGAATTTCACCAGGGTTGGGATTTAGATAAAGAGAGGATGGGGACATTAGTAACTGAAGTCACTTCACATGAATAAAAAGCTTACAATACCAACAAAAGAGAGCCAGGAAGGATGGAGAAGAGGATATACAGGAATAAGCTAAAAACACAAAGTACAAGGTTCAGAATGAACAGCAGAAAGGTCATATAAAGAACTAGAAAAAGATTTATACTCAAATAGCATGTTAGCTTTGCTGATCGATGTTGAGAAAATATGAGAAAACTAAAGATTTAAAAAGCAATTAGTATTTTGAAAAGGGATGGTTTAGGTATGATAAAAATAGGACAATATAGAAAAATATTTATGCTAGATTTTATAGACAGAATTCTAATAAGTAAATACCTATTTTTGCCATTGAAAAATCTTGCCAGGATCTTGAAGAGATATTTGCACACCCATGTTCATTACAGCCTTTCTTTTTTACAATTGCCAAGAGGTAGAAGCAGCCACATGTCCACTGACAGATGAATGGATAAGGGAAATGAGATATATCCATACAGTGGAATATTATAAAGTCTAATTAAGGAAATTCTGTCCCATGGTATAACCTGGATGAACCTATGCTAAGTGAAATAAACTCATCACAAAAGGTCAAATACTATATGATTCTACTCCTGTGAAGTATCTGGAACAGTCAAAATCATAGAAATATAAAGTAGAATCATGGCTACCAAAAGGGTGGGGGAGGGAAGAGGGGAAATCAATGTTTACTGGCTATAGAGTTTCAGGTTTGCAAGATGAACGATTTCTAGTGATTTGTCTCACAATAATATCAATATACTTAAAATTCCTGAACTACCCACTTAAAAATGATTAAGATGGTAAATTCAATGTTGTGTGTACTTTACCAACATAAGAAAAAAGTACTGCCAGACCTATACAGTATTCATCTTCCTTCTCAGTGGTTCAAAGAGGAAGTAAGAGCTACAAAATATTTTCATTCTAGCAATTTAAAAGCATTGTTCCATGTATTATATTTATAACCAACTAAAAGCTCTGGAGAATATGATGTTCAGAAGAGCGTACCCAGAAATAATTACAATGTTAGCTAAAGCTCAATGCATTAAATGTGATTTAGTTAAACCAAACTGCAGGATAACAATTATGAGGATAAAAGTTAACTCCTCATTCCAAATGACAAAAAAAAAAAAAAAAAAAAAAGGGAAATGACACTGAACTGCAGGGCCAGCAGTTACACAGATGAACAGATAGTGGTTAAATGCTGGACTAGGACCAAAACAAAAACTGCAGAATCCCATCATTATTTTCTTTTAAAACATAAAAAATTGTTTTAATTTACTTGGGTGAGTTTATTGGTATGCTAGAAAGGAAAGACTAGCATCCCAAATCTCATCTAGTCCTAATATCATAAGATTGTTTTAGAAAATAAATCCAAGGTCTTAAAGGAATACATGAAAATATACTAAAATAATATACAGATTAAAGAAAAGAAAAAATTAAAGAATAAAATGTAATAGTAATATTAGTAAAATTCAGTATAGGAAGGCTATTCTATGTGAATACTGATTTCTAAAATGAATCCAGAAAGAAACAGAAATTCAACACTGGTACTTTAAAAGTCCACGATGATAGCATATTATGTATCATTTCTTAGGAAATTCAGAAAATGCTTAGATATTCTTATACTTTATAGAACTTTCATTTTATTCTAGGAGTGAGGGAAACTTTCTCCAATTTTCAAGTTGGAAGGTCTTCGTGAAGAAGAGATCATTTCCTAGAGTTAAATGTGGACTGAACTTGAAGTTGTTTCAGGGTGGTGGGACCTTTCAATATCTTCAAAAGGAGTCTAAGGGTTGTCACATTGAAAAAAGAAAGAAAAAGGGAAAAAGAAACCCTACCACCACAGGCGAATAGAAAAAAGAAGACAACCCCAACCAATTACACCACCACCGGATGGAGGAACCCAGCTGACACAAGCAGTCTAGGGAAGCTTGGGGTTTAGCTCTTTTGACTTCAGGAAAGACTGCACTGTGAGTATTCATGGATTTTTGAACTATATAAATGAGCTTTCATTTTAGTTAAAATTCGATTATCTGAGCATTCAAAGTGAAACCTGATTCATACTGATAAGGCTACTTTGGTACCAGCAATTCTGTTGCTTTTAGAGATACTGAGTAAACAGTTTGAAGGACACCTCTGCCTTGATTTCAAATGAGATGGTGTTACTCCTTCTTTAGGACACCTATTATTGAGATAGTCGCACTGCTTATATTGTCTTTGTAGAGTACCACAAAGAGCTGCAGATCTACTTGAATCAAGCTATTTTCTCATGCTATAAGTTTTATTTGTAACATACTAGAAATTATCTATGACTTCTTGACTTTACTAAGTTATGGCGCCTTCTTGCTTGAAATTATAGTATTCTTTATTATGTTATTACTACTTTATGGTAATTACCAGGCCAATAAGTTTAAGTTTGGTGTTTTAGAAGTAAATAAGGTGAATATTAGAGAAAAGAGAAAGAGAAATACTCTGTAGTTAATTCAAATAACGAAAATCAACAAATTTCTTTTGATAGTTCAGACTTAATAGACTCCTAATAGTATTATTTCCAAAGTAATGTGCTCTTGATATTTCCTTCTGTATATATCAGTTAATGCAATTTTTGAAGCATGGCCTGAATAGATTCAAGTCATTATCAAGGCAGCCATCGCAATCAAACAGGTATGTATTTCAGCATAGTAATGTGATGTTTATATAAACATGCCCAAAGTGCATTTAAAAAGCTTCTGCTTATCTGGAGTCACAATGGAATCTGTTGGGTTCTCTAGGGACAGCAGCTCTTACCAGATCCAGCTGAAAACAACTGCCAGAGGTAGAAGTAGGGTGGTGGTGGTGGTGGGAAGGTACAAGCAGTAACACAGAGTTGCAAACTTAGGAACAAGATTTACCAAGTAACAAATACTATCTAGTATTAGAAAACTACTGTGATAAGATGCACTCTTGTAATCTGAATTACTTAAGGAAGCTGAGGTAGGAGGATTGCCAGTTGGAGGCCAACCTGGCCAACTTAGCAAGACCCTATCTCAAAATAAAATAAAAACGGCTGGGGGTGTGGCTCAGTGGTACAGTACTTGCTCAGCATGCATGAGGCCGTGGGTTCCTGCCAAAAACAAAACAAAACAAAACAAAAAAACCAAACTATTGCATCCTCTTCAATATAGGACGACCAGGGTCACAAGTAAGGTTCACTGGAAAATTCTGTGAATAAAGTGGTTTGGTTCTTGTCTTCATTGGCAATTCTTAACACATTAAACAAGTAGTGTCAAAAATATCACTAAATGGCCTTATGAATAGTGAGTGATTGACACTGCAATGAGCCAATAGAGCAGGAGGCAAAAATCAGCCACTAAGTTTAAAACAGAATCTAATATGTTAATTTGTTAATAATTAAATGCTAGCCATCTGATACATAGCAATACATGGTGGCTACTATTACTATTTAAATAAATGTATTGCTTTTCCTTTATTCTCTTTGAGACTAAGAAAAACCAGAAAAGTTTGCTGATGGTCTTATCCAAGTGTTATTTATTTATTTTCCTCACAGAGTAAAGCTGAGGCAAATGGTTTCAGAATATGTGCTTTGTGCTAACAGCTTTCTAGAAACTCTTGATTATGGCCACTGGACCTAGAAGTGTTGAGGAGATATGTTCTGGGGGATGATCTGGAATACTTTGTGATTCAGTAAATTGCATTTATTTACTTACTATAATGGACATAGCAACTAAAAAAGATCAATAATTTTTCAAAGGAGCAAAGCTAGCTGGCATAATCGCTTCTTAAAACTGCTTGGGGGAAATAATGTTAAGGGATTCACATCAAAATATTGCTAATAGAACTCAGCATTAATAAGGAAATGGTGATAAGGAGTGAGGTTTTGTAAAAAGGATCATGGGTTCTCAAAAGTCTGATCTGAGTCAACTTAGGCATGGCCATATAAGAGCTGTGTGGCTATGGGCTAAGGTCCTAACCTGTTGATCTTTCAGAACCTCTTTTGTAAATCCTATCTCACACAGTTGTCGTAAAGAATATATAAATTAAATAAATGTGCTCAACACAGGATTTGGTACATAGCCGGTGTTAAATAAATATCATTGATGGTTTGGCTGTCTAGCTCAGGGGTTCTGTTTTGACTGTACATTAGACTCCCCCAACAATACCTTTTTTTTTTTTTTTTAACCACTGAGCCACATCCACAGCCCTTTTAATTTTTTTTTTTTTTTGGTACCAGGATTGAACTCAGGGGCACTCATCCACTGAGCCACATCTCCAGCCCTATTTTGTACTTTATTT